GTTCGGTTCCTGGTACCGGAGAAAAAAAAAAAAAAAAAAAAAAAAAAAAAATGAGTTCCAGGTTCCCAAAGCCAGCAGGTCCTGCAGGGAGGGGCGTGAGGGGTATACCCCAGTCATAGACACTGGCACATAGCAGTGCTCTGACATTACATTGTATTCTTTTGTTCTCTGTAATAAATTTTCATTTCTGATTTAAGAGGAGGCTGGAGCAACTGTTTTCATTTTTCAGAAATCCATTAAGGCCAGAATCAACACATAATCTAGAGATAATGATCAATAAATCAGACACCAAGTTTGGCAAGAAAGATGCTCCCCTCTCCGCCAAATATCCAGCAATGTTCCTCAGGAAAAGAATGTCTAGCGTAATTCCTCATCCTCTTTCCTTAAGAACTGTCCAATTAAGTAAGAGCTGAATGAAGAAGACAGTGATTCATAACATTTTTAAAAGACTTTACCACCATGAACACAATCCTCATGAAATTCTAAAGCCATATATCTTCTGTCATGTAATTTTTATATGCTTTCATTTGATTATCAATTTCAAGAATTCTGTCTCACTTGAGTTGCTTGATGGTGAACAGCAAAAACCAACTCTCACGATTTTGATCTGGAAGGAATCTATAAAAAGACATTGAGGTGCTCATAAAATCTCCAAGGAAGTTGGAGAAGCGTCACCCCTTGTTCCATGAAGTTCTAATGCTGGACTCTGCATTTTGCTGCCAAGAACCACATCTCCTCTTGTCTGTGGAAACTACCCAGTGCTGATTGCTATGGTCACACTCAATTCTGTGGTCACAGCTCTTTGGTCACAGTTTCTGACTCAAGGTCTTGGGTAATCTGACTGGGAGTCTGAGCTGGGTCATGCCCTTGCTACAGGGAGGCTAGGAAAATAAGCATTGGACATTTCCCATCTTTATAGCAGGAAATAGACTCTGTTCTTACACACGAAGGAAAAGGGTTTTGACGTTGATTGGCTTAAAATAGTTCCAACTATTCGGTTAAAATTATATTAATAATGGAGGGCAAAAGGAGCAATGTGGGGTTAGGTTGGGAGAAAGAGTTTTTGAGTAAGTATGGTCTTAGGATTTGAAATCATAATTTTAGGGTTTTAGTGTTTAACTGACTCATGGCCTTACTTGTGTATGTCAGGTCCCAATCCACAGACTGGAAACCAGCCCTAAATCTCACTTCAGTTGACAAGATCTCTATTTATTTCCCCTCCGGGGTCTTACTCCATGGCTGGATTTGCTTCCAATATAATTACAGCTCCATATTTAATCTTCTCAAGAACCTGCTTGGTTCTTTTCATTTAGAGGAACATTCTGAGTAAGTATTTGGACCTAATATCAGCACATAAGGTGAAAATCACATAGGATGAAAAATGACCCACAATCCCTGCTTTTTTGGTTATGCACAACTGAAGTCATTGGTTTGAACTTAGGGATCATGTCACAGGGAAGATACCCGAAGTAACAGAACCAGATCAAAATCATGAGAGTTGATTTTTGCTGTTCACCATCCAGTAGCAAGACCAGAAATACATTCGGCACATGAGGAGCTCACTTTGACAGTGGAAAGGGTAACTGAGGGATCTGAGGACCACACCCCCTACCTCACATAGTGGTACAGGCTCACGGAAGGCAAGCATGCGCAGAGGGATGCACTGTTTACAATTTGAATTACTCTCTTTCACCGAGATCACCTATGAGCCAGGCTAAGTTTCTTGACCTTCCTCCCTCCAGTATCAAGAGACCATAGGGACCACAGGGACTCTGTATGCTTAGAATAATATTACTCCTCCTACCCCAGATTTCATGACACCACTTCCAGGGGTGAACAAAACCCCAGGGCTCTGGAAGCATCCTGCAAGGCCCCCACCTTCATCCCTCTATCCCACCGGTACCCATAGCCTTACCTCTGCTGTCTGCTCAGAAAGTTCCTGAGCCAATCTCTCCATGCCTTTTGGTCCCACCTCCTTCATGCCTTTTGGTCCCACCTCCTTCAGCTGTAGCAAAAGGTTCAGGATTCCTAGGTCACCTCTGACTGCCCAGATCTTAAGTGGTGTGCTGTCTACGCTCTGAGAGGGAGCCATCCACCACCCTGCACACACCAAGTCCTTTCCTCACTCCATTTTTCTTCCAGGCACTATACAACTACTTGATAGATCATATTTTTATGATTAACTAACTTACCAGTCTCCCACCAGTAGAATATAAGTTCCACAAGGGCAAGCGTCATGTCTGGCTTCTTTTCTGCTCTATTTCCTCCACCCAGAGTACTTCCTAGCACATAGTAGGCTTTTGATAAATATTTGTCAACTGAATTAATGAAACAGACTTTCATGGCTCTTCAAGATGTTTTAAATAGACCCTCATCCATGCCAAGGACTATCTGGAAGCCCCATGCCCGTGTCAGCCTCTCTGGTACAGCAAATCAGCAAGGCCTGCTTGCTTATGCCATTTCCATCCATGTAGCACACGGAGAACCGCATGCCCGGCACTCGCTGACACACAGCAGCCTGAGCTCCACAGTCTGCCTTGCACAAAATACAAAATGGTATGACTCACACAGCTATGATCATATACTTGCTCCTTCGAAAACTGGCAAATACCAAGTTCTGAGCTTAATCCTGTCTTTCAAGGCGAGCTACTCAGAGATCCATTTCTAAATTGTAGTTACATGCAAAAAAATCTTTTTGTTTCATAATATGATCCACCACATTCTTCCAGCCACGATTCTTTGCTTGCTCTCTAAATGCAGGGTCCCCAGGCAACAAAAAGAAGTATGACGGCCCTGCTGGGGAGACTCCTCCTCTTAGAGCAAGTGGTCTCATGTTTGAGGTCCTAAATCATCATTGGTGGCAGTGTCCATCAAGATTTTTCTGTCACCAGATAGAGCTACCCAAAGTTTGCCAGGGCAGTGGGCGATACTGCCTGGCAGAACACATGCCCAAGTTAGTACTGGAGGATTCCTCCCCCACCATGGGAGCTAATTTTAAAAGCAGTTGAAGACAGAGGCAAGGAAGGGAGGAGCGGAGGGAGAGGAGGAGATGGAAACCACAGCCGTGTTCACTTACCGGTAAATGATGCCCTTGCTCTGTAAGAAGAACAGACCGATGGCAATTTCTGCAGCGTAAAATCTGAAATTAAAAAAAAAAAAAAAGATGGAGAAATTCAAGGACACCATATGCTCATCGACGCTCAGAACTCAAGATAATACTGAACTAGGTGTGAGGCACTGAAGTCTCGCCATGAACGGGCAGCTACGCATCTGATAAAAAAGCTGGGAACATGGATGGGTGAACAGGGTGATTTTAGGAGCAGCCGGGCTGCCCTGGGGACACACGGGGTGTGGGCAAAGGTGCAGCGATTTCCCCGCAGGGAGGGCGCCCTGGAGTACAATGGGCTGGCTGGCGAATAACTGCAAGCTGTTTCAAGTTTCAGTATTAAAAACTGTTAACATTTGTTGAAGGTTCACCATCTCCCTAGCACCACTTCAAGCATTATTTGATTTAGCCCTAATTGGAATCCTATGGCATCAGTCCCGCTCGTACTGTCCCGTTCTTTAAACGAGGAAACTGAGGCTTAGAGAAATGAACTCTAAGATGAGCTTGGTCAAGGCAGGTGACAAATGAACGGCACAGCCAAGCCTGCAGACAGCGTGTGTCTAAATGCAATCAGACGCACAGGAGCACACCCCGAGAGCAGACACCGCGAGAGAACTGGGAAGCCCAGCTGTACCACCAGGGCTGAACATGGCTTTGGGCAACTGTATTAAGTTCTCGTGATAGGTTTCATGTGACAATGAGTTAAAACTGCGGTCAACTCGCTTTCATAAATAAAGGAAGAGCCAACCCTAAGGTTCCACTAGAACTGCGCCCAGGGACACAAACGGCTGGGCTGGGAGGCAGAGGAATAACGCAAACCCTACCAGAAGAACACAGTGCGCACAAACTCTGCACGTGGGAGGAAAGGGAACAGGCTGGGTGTCACAGGAGCCAGAAAGCCTCTGGGATGCCGGAGGGGGGTTCCAGACAAGCCCTGGGGATTTCCCATAGGGCAGCAGCTCAGCAGCTTCCCAGAAAGGGTATCTGTACTCTTCCCTGTGACCCAGATTTCTGTTCACCCACAGGTTTCTAAGCAGGAAAGTAACATGGCGAGATTCTCGTTCTAAAAATAAGAGACGGAGGCTGGCCTGTGGACCGAAAGAAACCGAATGGGCCAGTAGGAGAACTGTATTTCCAAAAAACTAGAACCAGTCACCCCGTTCCGGGAGCCACAGAACACTGCCACTGTTCGACTCGATCCTTCGTCTGTCTTCCTGAGTGAAGACATTTAAGAGGCAGAGTGGCGCAGGAGACAGGAAATGAACAAAAACTCGTGGTTCAGAGTTCTGGACCACCTTCGCACTAACTTTGCGAGGCAGACAGAGCAAGTTTCCAAAACGCTCTGGGCCTCAGTGTCCTTGCTTGCTAAGAAGAGATGATATTAACCTACTTGCTAGTGTTATTCTTGGGATTAAATGAGATCATGGTTATTAAGCACTTACGGTCTGGAATGTAGTAAGCTCTCAATAAATATTAGCAAATGAGCAGACAAAGCCTACAATGACGCTCCCCAAGGCTGTAAGACCTGCCCCTGGAACCAGGAGCAAGAATTAGATAAACAGCGATGGTTCCAGAATGCGGTACTCTTAGCAGTATGAGGCGTGGGGGAAGCCCACCACGCAGAACACCTTTCTCCTTGGCCAAATATTTCTCACAAAGAAGAAGCCTCCGAAGTTTAAAAATCCACCTCGGGCTGACAACCCACACATTGATCCCAAGGAGAAAGCCCAGCGAAGGTCTTCCTTACACAGCGTGAGGCTCCTTGAAGCGGCCAACCTGCTGGATGTGGTACATGAGGTCGCCTCCGTTCACGTACTCCATCACGAAGTACAGGCGGTCCTGGAGAAAGGAAGCAAAGGGCAGAATCAGCATCACGTGATTGGCCAGGTTCCACACGGAGGGCAGCAAACAGCTGAGATCAGTATCAAGACCCCCAGGCCTCTGACAGAACCCTGTGTGTGGGGCCCAACGCTTCCTCCAGGGTAAAATCTGCACCCTGAAAGACGCAAACAAGCAAGGCTGCACACAAATCATGGCTTCATTAATAACTGCAAGTTTAAATCCATTTGTGCTGGAAAATATACCTGGCACATCAATCTTGTGACTTAACTGGTACTGTTGTTTAGGATAATGTTAACTGTAGCAAGAGTGGAAAATAGTAAGTGAATGATATGGTCAGCAGGTAGCTAAGGGAAAAGCCTCCACGCTGGCCTTCCAGTGCTTTCCACCTCCTGGTATTCACAGTCTTGAATTCCTACAGTGAACAGGACTGACTTGTATAAAAGCAACAGCACACATGACTTCTGGGACCAGGTCGTAACAACAGCCTCTACTCTCTTAGTTCTTGGGTCACTCATTCCGGGGAAAGGCAGCCACCACGCCGTGAAGACACTTACGAAATGCTATGGAAAGGGACACCTGGCAAAGAACTGAGGCCTCCCGCCTACAGCTGGCACCGCTCCTCACTCACGGAAGTGAACCACCCTGGGAACACAGTACTCTGCCCCGGCGACGCCTGCAGAGGACTGTGGTCCCAGCTGACCGTTCGATTGCCACCGCATTTGAAATCCAAAGCCAGGGTCTCTGAGCACTAAGTCTTGTCATTTTAAGCTCCTGGGGTTTGAGGCACTCAGCAATAGACAGCTAACGCAGTGGCCGTCAAAAGCAAAACAAAACAGGAAGTGTAAAAGTTTGAGAAACAGCAGTCTAGAAAGACATACCCAGAAATCTAAAAAATTGGAGACAGAAAAGGAAATCTGTAACCCCTTAGGGAATTTTTCTCAAGGCGTATTTCAAGGGTTAGCATAAGCTTCTTCAAGACAACAAGCCTGCTCCTCAGTCAAAGACTAACGCACAATAAGTGCCCATAGAGCGAAACTGCACAGGCTTCAGTGTCCGGAAGACTACACAGAGACCTGACCTTGCCTCCCGAGAGCTGGGAATACGTGGGGACGTCCTTTAAGATCTGATTTCCTCACCTGGAAACTGGAGATAGTAGTAACAGAGTTTTCACTGGGATTGAATGAGACAGACGGGTATCACACTCTTCCAGGGGCACCTACTTGTGATCTGCTTTCTCTCCTTCCAGAAAGGGGTGCTTGTTAAATGAACGAATGATTTCACTTCTTAGAAACTTCTGCTTGGGGCAAATCATTCCTTTATGCCACTTTTCTTTGGCTTGAAATGCCAGGGTGGGCACTAAGTATTTGCAGTGAGCTGAAGTCCCCCTCATGTTCTCAGACTAAAAAAACATTTCCTTTAACCCACCCGATCTAAATTAGTTCTGCTCGTTATATTCTTCTATGAACTTCACAGGTTGTTTATTCCCTCTGATCACAGCATAACTTGTAATTATATGTTTAACTGGATGGTCATTCATTTCATCTATTTAATCACTCATTAATTAAATACAAAATATTTATAAAGCCCTACTGGGTACCAGGTTACAGCAGTGCCAGGGAAAGTAGTGAACAGAATCAACAAAAATTCCTTGCCTTTGTCTTTCATTTTGGCTCAAGTACACAGATTAAGAACACTGACAGCTGGGTGTGGTGGTGCACATCTGTCATCACAGTATTCGGGAGGCTGAGGCAGGAGGACTGCCATGAGTTCAAGACCGGCATGGGCTACATAGTGAGTTCAAGGCCAGCCTGAGATACATAGTGAGATGCTGTCTTAAAAAAAATAACCCAAACCCCAAAACAATACTAGACATAATAAATACAGTATTTATTTATTATAAGGTAATAAGCACTATGGAAAAATAAACCAGACTAAGGGAGACGGGAATGCCAGCTGGATGGGCTGGAAGAAAAGATTCCCAATTTTAATAAAGTATTCAGGGTATAACTTGTTGAGAAGAGGAGGCTTCCGCTAATATTTGAAGGAGGTGATGGAGACAACTATGAATATGTTTTGAACAACAGCTTATCACGTATCAGAAACAGCACGTGCAAAGGCCCTGAGGCTACAGCACACCTGCTGTTCCTTAGGACCCCTGGAGAACCAGTGTAATTTGAGAAGAGAGAGGACGCCAGAGAGGTGAGGAGGAGCTCAGATCATCAACATTTGTTGGCTAAAAAAATATTTTGGTTTTTACTCAGCATGATATTGTCTAATGCCAGACATGACTGGAGGCTCCACAAGCCAGTGACCGCGTCAAATTTGTTTACCACTGTGTGCCAAGAACCCAGTACCGTACCTGCCAAAGTAAACCCTCAGTGTACACTGACTGAACAAATGAATGAATGATCCCAGAGGCATGAGCAGTTAGTGGGCCTCCAGTCACACAGCCGAAAGTTGGCCTAGAAATGCGCACGCGCGCGCGCGCGCACACACACACACACACACACACACACACTTTCACTTTACATCCAAGTTTTGATATCTTTACTTATTTTTTTTTTTTATTTTTTACTTTTGGTACCGGGAATCGAACTTAGGACCTTAGGCTTGCCAGGCAGGCACTTGTGCCCGTGAGCTATATCCCCGGCCCTGATCTCTTTGCTTGTAAGAAGATCATATAACCAACCATCTCCAGCAGAGTAACTAGGGGCTCAAATAAAACATACCCCGTGCTACATACTGAAAAGGTCAGGAAGATGAGTAATGCCTAGTTATTTAAGCTAGTGTTTTTCAAACTCAAGTTGTGTTGTACTTTAACTGATCATCAAATTGACTGGGTGGGTCATGACCAAATTTAAAAGAAAAGAAAGAAAAGAAAAGAAAAGGAAAGGAAAGAAAAGAAAAGAAAAGAAAAGAAAAGAAAAGAAAAGAAAAGAAAGAAGCGGAGCGCCAGTAAGTGTAGTTTTGTGCAGTGTGTGCTTGAATTGCATTTTTGTGCTTGATTAGGTCTCAGTCTAATAGGGGGCTTGGTATCAAAAGTTGCAAAGCTATTGTGAGGGGCTATAATGCCAGGATAGCAGATGTGTGTGTCTGTGGGTGATGTGTAAGGCAAAGGTCCCGCCTTTAGAATCAACATAGGATATGAAATCTCCCAGTACTTACAATTTGTGTAAAATTGAGCAATTACTTAAGCTCTCTAATGTCTAACCTTCTCTTCCCCTGCAAAGACATTCTTCACCTGCCCCATAGTGTAGTAAACAAAAAGTATACATTTAATTGGCCATTTAATTTACCGTTTAAAAAAATGACCCAGCGTGGTGGTGCACGCCTATAATCCCAGCACTGGGGAAGCTGAGGTAGGAAGACTGCCGTGAGTTCAAGGCCAACCTGAGCTATATAGTCAGATCCGGTCTCCAAAAAAATCTTCCTTACATTGCATAGTTTATCTTGTATATAACAGATGCATGTACATTTTTCAAGCATATATTGAGTGTCTAACAGTTATAATAACCACAATAGTTAAATAAAGCTACCAAGTTGGGGGCTTTTTTTTTTTTTTTGGTCTTTTTGGGACAGGGTCTCACTATGCAGTTCAGGCTGGCCTTGAGCTCACTTTGTAGCCCAGGCTGGCCTCGAACTTGCAGTGATCCTCCTGCCTCAGCCTCCCGAGTGCTGGGATTGTAGGCGTGCACCACCATGCCCGGCCTGGGGCTCTTGATACATAACTGGACTAAGTGGTTTATATACCATGTCTCAGTCCTGTCTCTAAACAATTTCACATGACAAGTAGTATGATCATTCTCCTTTATTCTGAGATATGAAGTCTGAAGCTCAGACAGGGCAAATAACGTGTCAGCTGTCAGGGTAAAGTGAGGATCTGAATCCGCGCAGTTTGGTTCCAGTCTATGCCGGCCACCTCTTCTCAGGCTGCTTCCAGTGAGTATGTGTTGCATGTAAGGTTCTGCGCTAGACACTGTACGCATGGGTGGGTGTATGGATGTGCCCTTGCTTACAGCCTTCAGTCTAGAAGGGGACAGAAGGAATGCAGGGATCTATCCATGCAGCAAGGCAGGGACAGTAGGATCCAAAGAAGGAGCACCAGGTAAACAGATTTTTTTAAGAAAAATAATTTTCCCTTCTCAGATCAGCACCCTCTCCCCCTCTTAACATTCTAATGCGAGGTACAAAGGGGTGCGGAATGATTGCATCTGTTCTCAGAATCCAAGGACTACGAGATTTACAAAAAGGTCACATGAAAGCTGGTGGCAGAATGCAGACAGCAAGCCAGAGCTGCCGACATCCAGCCCCTGGTTCTTCAGGGGGATTTTGAGAGAAAACAAGCCTAAACTTAGCATCTGTCTCCGCCGCACACTGAAGAGAACCAAAACACTTGTTTTAAAAATTATTTTTAAAACTAACAGATGGCATCGGCCACAGAGAAAGAAGTGAGGGAGAGATTTCATGTGCTTGATTTTTGCCTGAATTAACACAGCTTGCCCCCCAAACTCGCTAGTCAGAATCCCCAAACTGGGGATGGTTCCATTGTGGGGCGTGTTTTGCAGTCCATTTCTACCAGTAACCATATGTGGGGAAGCCGAGAGATCCATTATCCTTGGACTGTACTGTGGCTGGCACTGGCACACCAGCACTGCAGCTATTAAATGCTATGGCTGGCATCTCACTGTCCTTTCATTTCTGAGCACCTAATGATAACTAACTGGTCTGTGCCAGGCGCTGCTGCGAATACATGGTGCCCGGTGTTCAGGACTCCCCAGACAAGTAGTGGAGACCAGATACACTTCAAAGAGGCACTGTTTCCCCAAATGGGGTTGGAGATCATTTTAGGTAGTCTATGGATACATATGGCTTTACCTCTGTAATTGTGTTTGTTTTAATGCCTGGTGTAAAAAGCATAACGAAGCATGTTAAGCTCCTGATTTTATGTCTATTATTGCTGAAAAGGGAGAAGAAACCGAGTAAGAGGTGGAGTCAAG